TGGAGTCCAGGTGGCTCTGACTCTTTTCAACGAGCGTGCAAACATTACAGCCAGCCGGACGGCCGACGCGAGCCGGCACTAGGGGAGAAGCATCGGGCTCCCCTTCTCTACTCACTCCCGAGCCCCAGACCCGGAGAGCTGCTTCGCCGGCCCTCTCCGTCAGCTCGATCCCACCGCCGTGAGAGGACCCGGCCCTGGGGCACGACGGTGCCGAGCTCAGGCTGCTCCCGGAGCCCAAGCCGGTCCGCCGCGTATCCCGGCCCGCCCCGCAACGGGAGGCGGGCGGCCGTCGGCGCTCCGAGCCCGGCGCCGGGCGGCGGCTTCTCCCCCCGCCCCGCTCCCCTGCCCGCGGCTCCGTGGGACCCGTCCGAGCCGGCGGCGCGGCTCCCGGCTCTTACCGAGGCGCGCAGGGGAAAGCTCCCGACACCCGCAATCCTCGCTCCGCAGCACGGGCTGTTGTAGCTTTTTTGGAGGAGCCGAGAAGAGGGAAAGAAGGGGAGGGGGCAGGGAGGAAGGGAAGGAGGAGGGAAGGGATTGAGATCGAGGGAGAGAGAAGTATGCGAAGGCAGGAAGTGGGGACGGCCACGGCCAGTGCGGGAGATTAATGGGAAGCAGCCGGCCGGCCGCCAACAAAGAGCCCCGGCGCGGGGCTGCGGCAGCGAGCCGCGTCCAAAGCGGGCGGGAGGCAGCGGAGCGAAGCGGCGCTGAGGGGAGGCACGGCGGGCAGCGGGAGGAGGGGAGAGCCGGGAGCCCGCGGGACGGCCTCGCCTGAGGAGAGCGCCGGTTTTGTCTTTCAGACACTGACAGCGCTCGGGCTCTCTCCGGGAAGGACGGGGGAAGGAAAGCTCCTGCCGGGCCCGGCAGCCCACGTGCTTCCAACTCGCGCCCTGCACGGCGGGCTGCACGCACGCACAGATGAGTGTGCACAGTGTTCGGGAGCAGCGCTTCAGCGCTAAGCATGTGCTCACTGTCCCCTTGGGCTGATCAGCCTTCCCGCACCCCGAGCCGCCGCACACAACGAAGATAACTCGGCTGACCCGCCGCCCCCACCACAACGAGGAAACCTGGTGCGAGCGCCCCGCGTTTCGCAAGCCGCCATTCTATTTCAAGAGACTGAGCACGAGGGGAGCTCATCCGGCTCCTCGTGCGAAGGCGAGGTTCCGAGCACGATCTGCCCGCACCGCCCGCCCGCCGGCTGCGGACGCGTTTATCTCAGCCGGGAGCTGCGTTTGAACCTCCCGCTCCGGCCTCTCCGCGGAGCGGGGCGGCGCGCCCCCTCGCGGCGTTAGGGCGGAACGATGGACTGCGGCGCATGCGCACACTGTGACGGCGCGCGGCGGCGGCGGCGGGATGGACGGGGCGCGCGCGGGGCGTACGGCGGGGTTGGCGCGCGCCGTGCTGGAGCGGGCGCGGCGGCGGCGGGAGCGGGAGCGCGCGGCCTCGGCCCCGGTCAGTGCTGCGGGTGGGGCGGGGCGGGGAGCGCAGCCACCTCAGTGACCGCGTTCTGTCGCGCGGCCGCACCGCGCTTCGTTAAGCGTGCGCTTAATGGCAGGAGGAAGACTCGGAGCGGCTCAGCGCTGCGTTCGCTTCCGTCATGAGTTTCATGGCCCAAGCCACGCGGGAATGCGAGGTAAAAGCCCTGCGGCTCAGCCGGCGGCACCGCGGTAACACCGAATGCGAGCGAGACGGCGTTGGTATTGGGGAGCCTTTGCGCCCTCCGATCAGAGCGGTGCGGGGCGCTCCGTGTGCCGGCAGGTGGCAGCACCGCGCGGCAGGGCGGCAGCGGGAACCTGATTGTGATGCCTCTTATGTAACGCTTTCTGTTCCCACCGTTGTCCAGAAGTACTACAGCCTTGTGCCGGCCTGCAGGTGCGGAGAGCACGAAGTGAGACACATCTGCAGGTACCACGGCCGGCAAGCGGGAGAGGAAGAGCTGCAGTCCGCCGAAGACAAGGTGAGGAGGGTTTGGTGTCCTTGGGATGTTCCTTCCATCAGCGTGGGACAGCTGCGGTGTCTGTGGCACCGGTTTGCCACGCGTTTGTGTGTTTGACAGCAGAGGCAGGTGAAGGCTTGGACTGGTCTGAGCCTTTGGTTGGGCAGGGCCATTGCTGGCGGCAACAGCCACAGCATGGTTTCAGTCCTGTCGCAGAGGGGAAACTGAAATGGACGCAGAGCATCCCCTCTCTGATGGCCTGAATTTACCTTTGTGTGGTTATAATCAGAAAACTATCCTTTTCTTTCCAGAAAAGTGCAGCTTCTGCAGCGTCCAGTCAAGCTAGAACTTTCCAGCAACGTGTAAGTCTACAGCATAATTTGTTTTCAAATGTACGTGGAGATCTTGTGACAGCACAGATCAATGAATGGTGTGTTCACCATCCCACAGTATAGATGGTGAGTAGAACAGGCAGAGACTGACACAATTAATTATAGAATCATAGAATCACCAAGATTGGAAAAGACCTCCAAGATCGTCCAGTCCAACCATCCACCTGCTACCAATATTTCCCCACTGAACCATGTCCCTCAGTACAACATCTGAACATCTCTTGAGCATCTCCAGGGATGGTGACTCCACCACCTCCCTGGGCAGCACATTCCAGTGCCTGACCACTCTTTCTGAGAAGAAATTGTAAACCAGACCCCGGTCATCCAGTGCAGAACTAGTCAAGAGTCTCCCATATTTCGGGCTGATACAGACTGTCAAAACATTGTGAATGATCCGTGGACTGCTGTGATTTGCACCAGCAGCAATAATCCATCAGTCTTCTGCTCTTGCCTCATTTGTGCTCCTGCCACATTCCCTGTGCTGAACAAAGCACGCAGCAGCTGCTCGGCCAGTTATGCTTGGCCCTGACACAGTCCTCTCTGAAGACTGCTGTTCCTCCAGGAAAAGAAAACTTAATTGTTTTTTAAAGCCAAACACCTCACCAAATCAATTTCAGGAATTTCTAAGCGACAAAAGATGAGAACCATGGAAACTGTGCCATAGTATGAATTGGTGAGATTAACTGGATGTATGGATGACTTCCTTTATTATGTTCAAAACAGTTTAAGGTGGCAGCTTTCAGTTTTGCAAGTAGAGATTACAGCCTGTTAATTATTTCCATGGATTAAATCATTAAATACTTTGAACGTGACACTTGTGAATATAAACACTTCACAGTTCTGTCTCTATATTGCCCATATATTCTGAACAAAAGATAGAACATTTAGATAGCAGTTTAAATGACTTTTTTTTTAAATTCAAATTCCAACTTTATATTTTTGTGGGAAATTTAACATGACTAAATAGTAAAGAAATCTATTTATTCCCCCTTCTCTGTCCCCTAAAGACCAAGAAAGCTTCCAAAGACATCTACATCGAAGTCTCTCCTGGCATTTATTCTATCACAGCAACCTCTGAGGACATGGTGAAACAAACCCACGTGGTGGATGTCAGTGCTGGACAAAGCATTGATTTGACTTTTGTGCTATGACATTTATCGTTTGCTGGCAATCATGGGAATAAAATACTAGGATTTTTTAAAGCATATAATGAATTGTGTGTAACTATTTCTTATTAGCATTTTAATACAATCCTCTTCTTTGGGAGTCCATTTTTATGGCCTGTATATTTATTAACTTAGTGCAATTGTGTGCAACCCACTTTGTACACTGATTTTATAAATGTTTGTACATTGTGTCTCTTAATTCAAATCATGCGACTATGTAATTCCAGGTTCTTAAGCTTGAAACAATTAAAGATACAATCAGTGGAATAAATACATAGTTTGGTCTTTGTGATGCCTGCTTCTTTTGTATTACCCTCAGGCAGAAAGTCCATGTCATGTTCTTACCCACAGAGAACGAGATCCCAGTGGTGTGAATGCAGACACATACACCATCTCTGGCACTAGTTCTAGAGCAGCTGACCATCCGTCTCAAGTATATTTCCCTTATCCACATTTTTATAATTCTGATAAAGAAACAAAATGCCATTTGGGGTGCATTTTTTAATGGTCAGCATGGATGATCTTTCCCGCTCTACTCTGCCCTGGTGAGGCCACAGCTGGGCTCCCCAGTTCAAGAAAGACAGGGATCTCCTAGAGAGAGTCCAGCGCAGGGCCACAAAGGTGGTGAGGGGCCTGGAGCATCTCCTGTGTGAGGAAAGGCTGAGAGACCGGGGCTGTTCAGCCTGGAGGGGAGAAGACTGAAAGAGGATCTTACCAATGCTTATAAGCATCTGCAGCACAGGAATAAAGAGGGTGGGACCTGGCTCCCTTCAGTGGTGCCCAGCAATGGGCACAAACTGGCACACAGAAGTTCCATCTCAACATGAGGAAAAACTGCTTTACCGTGAGGGTGACAGAGCACTGGAACAGGCTGCCCAGAGGTTGTGAAATCTCCTTCTATGGAGATACTCTAAACTACTGACAAACTTCAAATCCTGTCTCTGCAGGCTCTAAACTAGGCTTAGAATCACCTAGCTACCTTTTTCAGTAGAACACAGTTAATATTAGTGACATGCTCTATATAGTCTGCAATCCTGTTGTAGCTGATGGCATTAAGGTTTCAGTTAATGTTGAGGAGAATATAAAATTCAATGGCTTGAACACTGCACACAGAACTGTGTTAAGCTATATATTCCTTATTCTCTGGTTTGCTTTAATCCTGAAAAAAATAATAATAATAAAAATTGGGGTTGTCAGGTTGTATAATTTCTCTGTTTCTTCTGGTTTCCCACAGAGAAATTGGTGAGCTGAATTCCTCTGGCTAGCACCAGAGGACAGTAGATAAATTGGAGGTTTATTAGATCCTTGCTTTGCATCTGCTCAGGCTTTCAGCACTAATACTAGTTTATCTGATCTCTTCAGAAATGTAAAGAGCTCACACCCAAATAATTCAATTTAACAGCAGACTAACCATAGAGTAAAGAATGAGGATGCTGAAATGTTACCAGGTTGGAAATCACGTCTCGGTCATTAAAACGGTACAGTTATCCATAAAGCTCTCCTATGAAGTGCCTACATCAGAACTTTATTTGCTTAATAAATGTAACATTGCTAATAGTACAAGCAGTTTACCTGAAATTTCAGCTCTTGAACTTCATCAGCTGTATAGTTACTGAATTCTGATGGATCACATCTCTCCCTGCTTTAGCATGAGCTCTGCTGTTCTTTCCCTCTCTGTTCTCCGCTGTTACGGTCTGTACTGCCAAGTTTGTCCTCTCCTAAGCAAGTTGTTTTATGTTTATTGTCCAACTCTGTTTTCTTTCTTGTATGTCTATATCTTTGCTTTCATGATGCTACAGAACCTTCCTCCTGGAAGACAGGATAAAAATCCATTGGCAGTCCATGAATGCTCTGTGTTACCACATGTATCCACTGCTACGATTCATGCTGCTGGTTTTGAGCTAGAATGAGGCTCCTCTGGTTTCTTTCTAGTTTTACCAAAAGGCAAAGCACGTCAGCAGTGTATTGATATGACACTTGGCTAACACAGAGCACACCTGTCTGGAGTTGCATATTGGCATAAAAATTTTGTATAAGCTGTCTTTTCTTGGGTTTTATTTACACTGAAGGCCAGAGATGACTGGTCTCTATTTCTGCAGGACTTAATTGGGTCAATGTCAGTGGACAAGTGGCTAATTTCTGAGTGTAGAGTCTCTACTGATTGCTCACACTGTTTGCTGGCATAACCTTTTCCATTCCAACAAGGAGCTTCAGGCCCTCCTCACTTTTATTTTAGTTAATAATTTTTTTTTAGATTAATGGAAAAGTCCCCTCCATATCATAAAATTGGTGGAAGGCCATAGCAGGCAATTACTATACAAATGGCAATTTCTGAACTAATAACATGAATACTTGTTCCATTCAAACAGACCGGATCATGTCAGTAAATACAGTATTAATACAAATTACCCCTGAAGACAGCTTGAAATCCTGGTATTTCACTATTTCATTCACTGTGAATTGCCTTCTGGGAGCCTGCTCAGTAGTTTCCAACACTGCACTCTGCTCAGGTGGTGCAACATGGGACATCTCTACAACAGAGATGGCTTTGGATTCTAACTTGCCCTTTGCACATATGCTGCTGTGTCTGCCAGTTCCTTGGGGGAAAAAATTATATCTTAGCCTTAAGCATAGGGAAATCAGAATTGAAACAGATGCGTTCACTTAAGAGAGAAAAATGTACTTTAAACACTCTAAGGAATTCTTTTGGGTGATTGATTCTGCTTAGACTAGCTATGAAGGTTAATAAAGATGCTGGCATCATTAAATGCGTAGAAAATCATGAGTAAGAAACTCAGCAAGGGGCACCTGCCTCCACATGAGATTCTAATAGTTTTCCACTGGATGAGTTGCCAGAAGAAGAGTTAGCATGCAAGACGAGGGGGCAGAAATGCTGGGGAGGAGGAAATAAAGCATTGGCAGCTGACAGGCAAATGTATGGTATTTATACCAACTACAGGTTAAGTGAGAGCCCATATGAAGGGGGGCACAGAACATGCTGGCTATTTCCCTCTGGCTGCTCCTTCCTTTTAGGGTGTTTCAAGGTACCTGAATTACTGGCATGAGACTTGTAGTGGTTCCTTTTCCAGTATTTCCACTTGGGTCCTGCACATTCCTCCAGCCTGGGCTTCTCAGGATGACTGGGGTCTGTTTTAACAGTACCATCCACTACAGCACTCTGAGTGGGGAACACCTCTAGATCACCTACTGAGTCAGAAGGGGAATGTGCTGCCAAAGCTGCTAGCTCCTCTTGTTTTGGACCTTCCACTTCCAGAAGGTGTGCAGAGGATTTGCTGCTGGGCTCTGCCTCTTCAGCTTCTCTCTGAAAGACCTGAGACTTGGGTGGAAGAGGCCACCAAACATCAAAGTGGCCATGGCAGCAGCAGAAGGAGTGGACACAGGCTGATGAACAGCACGTACCACCACAACAACAGAGGAGAAGTGGCCAGCAGGGTGAGCAGAGCAAGCTGTGCTTAGCGTTGCTACATGCAACACAAACAGGAACCCAGGTGGTTTTAGGACTGCAGGAAAAAATGCACAAGTTAGTGTCAGGACTTTCTCTGCTCTTTAACCTGCTGGAGAAAGGCATGTGGATCATCTCCACAATCCTCCCACAAAGGCTAGGAGGGATCCACAGTGCTACACCTCGTGGCAGGTTCACTTTCTTGTCATTCCAGAACTGAACCATAATTTCTTCATCTTCTGAGGCTGTTGGGAGAAAAGGCATGCAGCTGTGAGTAGCCGTTCTGCCTAGGGAGCACATACAGCTCAGGCTCTGCAGCTTGGGACACGCTTTCTAGTCCTGCCAGATGCAGCATCAGTGATCACCTCTCACTGTGACACCTGGCAGCATCTTTCTTCCCAGTTTTTCATCAGGTGAACAAGTCAATGTTGGCTGAGTTTTGTTGTTCCTGCCAAAGCTAGCAGTAACACTCAGGGAGCACGCTACCCATATTTGAGCAGTCAGCAGAGCCTGTCAGACACAGGAAAACGAATGAGCTGCTGAAATACCATGCTTGGGTGATAAGGTCACTCCCAGGATGCATCCTTCAGTAAAAGCATGAGCACTCTAGCACAGACGGATGCTTCCTGAGAGCTGCCACATTTGGATCTACCAGGAAAAGGCCATTGTCCTTCACGCAACAGACACAGCCCCACCTGAGCATACAGGAAATTGCAGATCCGTGGATATGGAATGTGACGTTTTTGTGGGTCACAGCTTCCTTAGGGTCAGACAGCAAGGTTACAATCTGATATCCATCTAAGGTCATATCATCCACATCAGCTCCTGGATGCCTTAAGTAATGCTACAGTGAGTTCATTGACAGCTCTCTGGCAATAGCACAACAGAGTTCATCCCAAGAGTCTCACTTGTGTTCCCAAGCAAGGCAAGCAAGACAAGGGCAGCATCCTTCTTACCTCGTAAAGGGTCCCTCGTCTCAATGCCCGTGAGGACTGTTCCAGGGCCATACCTCACCAAATCTGGTTCCCAAGGTGCCAATACTTTGTCTCCCGGCAGCAAGGAATGCTTCATGCCATTGGCATACTCCAGGATGTCATCCTTTGCTGTTTTTTGCACATGTACCAAATGCCTTCCATGCAACTGAAGTGGTCTGGTAAACTCTACCAGGAACATTCCCCTTTCATTCTGTTACCGAGAGAAAAACAGTACCTCTGAAAAACACATAGTTATGCATCAAGTCACATAATCACTAGGTACAGTCCCACTGGATTTTACAAGGCACACTGCATGCACCAGGCACACTAAAGCTGTTCTTTAGGCATGCCCAAGTCCTTCCTCATTATACAACATGAACTCACTGCTGGGGAGCTGCTGCAATTTTTTATTTTCTTGTAAGCTAAGGCCTGTCAAGAGGCTTTCAATCAACACTGAAACAAGACACTTCCCTGTTCTTGAGAAAGAATAGACTCTTTTTCCCCCTTAAGTTTGAAGTGCTAACAAACTGACGAATTAAAGCTTTCACTAACATTTCTGAAGACACTGTGCCATTGGTCTGCAGCTGACTCATGCTGGCAGTGTGTACATAACACACCACCAAACACTTTTCCTGCGCTGGTGGCTATGTGTCTATACACAACAGTGGCCAGCACACTGTTCACAACAGCTCTGATGCCATCCAGGCCTGGCACAATGCCGAGCACCAGCAGAGATGAGGCCCTGCTGTGCACACAGAACTCAGGCAGTGCACAAGGACTGCTGCAGACTGCATCCACCACATTCAGTCTTTGCCAAAGGCAGAGGGGTGTCCTCCAGCCATGCTGACTTCACCCACCTCACCTGAGTTCAGTGGATGGCCCACCTGCAGGTGAACAGATCTGACTGACAGCGTACACCCGCATGACTACAGCACAGAGACTGTTGCTCACCTTCACCTCCTCTTTTACTGTACCACGGTAATAAAATCCATCATGCTCCCCTCTCACCAGAACAGGGACATTTTTGGCTAAGATGGCTGATCTCTGTGACATGCTCAGCCTCTGCCATGCTGGGCCAAGGGAGGGGAAGCAGCGCCCAATCCACTGGCACCTTGAATAACAGAAAATTGGTTAGTGGTGAGAGAAATTCTGAGAGATTCTGTAGGTCAGGCAAAAGTATATATGTATCCTCTAAGATGTAAGAACAAGGTTACTGCACCTCATTTTGTAGAACTCCCACTTTTTACCCAGTTCTCTTTGGTTTGGGATTAAGAGGAAGAAAGCTAAGAATATGCTGGAGACCTTGGCCAGGATCACTTGCATTAACACCTTTTCTGACTACATGGCAAGTTAATACAACCCTTAAGATCAGGCAAGAGAAAAAGATGCTCCAGCATAAAGCACAGTTTAGAGGTACTCAAGCACTGTAGCTGACAGTATAAGCTCAAAACGGGGAAATAATTCCCTGTCACATAGAATTAGAACCATTTCACAGATCACTGCTCATGCAAAATGCTTTTATTTATCCAAGTAACATTAAGGACTTCTTTTTTTGATAGCAAGTTTACCCCAGGCTTTGCTTTCCATAATCTCCAGGGTAGCAAATCATTTTAGTTAATGCAATCCAAGAACTGCCAGCACAAGGGTGAGGAAAGCACAAATGATATTCAAGCTGCTAATGTATTAACCTGACACATCCCAGACTTCTTTATCCTATTTGATATCATGCAAAGGAGCAAATCACAGATCCAACAAGAATTTAATTTTACCGCAGGGGAGCAAGGGTCTTGGTGATCCAGGCAGAATGCATGGCAAAGGAGCTCCTGCAGCAGGGGTGGATAGCAGGGATGGCACTGGAGCACAGGAACTTGTCCAGAGCTGGCATCATGCTGCAGCACCTGTGGTCCATGGGCAGGAATCTTTCCAAATGAGCCATTCTTGCAAAGGCTGCTTCCTGCAAGACTAAAACACGAGCTATTAGTAGTTGAAAAGAGACAACATGCTGGCATTTTTCAAGCCAAGCAAATGTTTTCCAGATTACCCTCAAGATCTCAGTAACTTTTACTAATTGCTCTCATGAAATAAAGACTGAATTCAAAGTACCCAGTCTGGTGTTTTGTCATGTGAACCCATATCACTGACTTCAGTGACTTCCAGTCATTCAAATTTGTGGTTGGCAAACCTAGCCACAGCAAATGAGTTGGAAATGGATGATCTTTGAGGTCCCTTCCAATCCAAACAAGTCTGTGAGTCTATAAATCTATATCTAGTAAAGGGACATAAACATCCAGGGAAACACTCTTGCTGTGGAAATCCTAAGGAAAGCAATGTTCTTAACTAGCTGCAGCTTTTGTTCCCCTCTGTAACACGCAGCTCTTCTCTTACACCTACACTCTCCTTTAGAGCTTCCTTATACACAGAGCCAGCTCAACCCTCCCTGCTCTACAAGCTAAAACAGAAACTGCAGCTGAAGTTCATAGTTGAGCAGACAGCTTCTGACTGTAGTGCTAGAACAAAATTGTCTATGATATATTAAGAGGAAATATTTTGATCTCCCACTGCCCTGTCATGTTTTGCAACAGTAGGACTATGGCTTGCCACCAGAAGAATGAGATGCTAAGATTTGATGAGCAGTAACTACTCAGAGGTTGTCACATTAGGATTCATGAGGTGATGCTCTCTGATAATCTTACATAAATATATTTTGTTTAGAAATATTCAGCATGCTGAGGGTAAAATTTGTGATAGAGCGAGCAATATATCAACCAAGTGCCTAATTTACCTTTATTTCATCTCATAAAAGATACAATTAGTGATTCTATCATCTACAAACGGTATGTAATTTCAAACACAACAAAGGCAAGTAAATAACTGCTGAAAAACGTGTCTTATAAAGAGCAAACCAACACATCAAACTCACACTTACTACACAAGCTCCCCTATTACAAACTGAAACAAGCTGGAATCCATAATGTTTTCTAAAGGAATGCAAATTCCAGTACGCGTTAAAGCCCGCTGTAAAGCTGCTCAGAGCTGTCCTGCCAAGAGCCAAGTATTGCATAGATGTACAAAGCAGTGCTCTGACAAAGGCAACTATGGAGCACTACGAGATTTCCTGAACAGTTCCACACATTTGGACCCAGAAGCATTTCAAACTTACCAGTTACTGATAACACTAAATCTTGACTGTTTGTATTTAGCCTTGAGATAGAAACCTTGTCCTTTTGCCCTGCTGGATGCAGGAAGCATTTGTTGCCAGCACTTTCTAGTTGCTAAGGAGGTCAGCAACATGGCTACCACTAGGAATTGACGTGCTGACCTGACCCCGCTGCAGAGACGACCCTTTGCCTGCCATGTACCAGCCCAATTGCTGCTGAATGCAGCTCTGGTGATCCAGCTATTGCACTGGGAGACCATGGGGGCAAAGAAAGGATTACAGAAGGGCAAAGCATCCTCCAGCCCTTCACATAGTAACATAAGGTAAAAGAAATGTATCATTCAAAGCTGCAGTTCAGATTTACGATCATAAAGCACCACCACAAATATATTGGTTCAAACAAGGAGAGCCAAAGCTGGGAGGAACTGAGATCGAATCCCTTTGCAAACTTCTCTTTTCTATAATAAAGGGGAAGAATTTCTGAATTCTCCCCCTTTCCTCCAAAGCATGTACAAAACCAAAATCATAGAATGGCCTGGGTTGAAAAGGACCACAACGACCATTGAGTTTCAACCCCCCTGCTATGTGCAGGGTCACAAACCAGCAGACCAGGCTGCCCAGAGCCACATCCAGCCTGGCCTTGAATGCCTCCAGGGATGGGGCACCCACAGCCTCCTTGGGCAACCTGCTCCAAAATGTCAGAGAATCACATAGAAATCTTCCTGCTAATCTCTACTGCGCTCCCTATTCTTCATTTCCTCCTTCACAAATGTACACACCTCAATATGTGATATGTCTGTGCAGTGCAGGCAGGGAAATACTTAATTGCATTTAGTAGGCATTTTTCAATTCACTACTATTAAAACATGAGAACAGAGGGATGGATGACTGTAATTAAGGACTGCCAGCTCTTACAAAGTCTGGAATTGTTTTCTCTACATTTTGCTGTAACCAGAGACGAACTGCTCTCATGTTGCCAGCCGAATTGCTGTTAAATGCCAACCCTGACACACAGCAAACGTTAAGAACATTCTGCTAATCACAAGATAAAACTCTCTTCACCATCTTGGCATAAATCTGTTCTACACTGATTAGCTGAAATCATCGGATAACACAGAGAAACAGACTAAGGGGAAGAGGATCCCGGAAGAATTTCTTTCACAGGACACAATTCTTCCCAGGCCAGAATCTTGCCAACCCTCTTTGTATTGTGCAACCAGTCCTAATTTTTAAGTGCACAGCGAGATGGAAACAAATTTCCATAGAATTTGGATAGAAATTAGGCAGAATCAACAGTTTTAAAAGAATCAACATTTTTACTCATAGGAATAAAACTGCATTTGCAAGATGTCATGCTCTTCCTACGCCCGGTGACAGTGTTTCAGAGAACTGCTCCCCTTTTCCTTCCACTTTTAAACTAACTTATCCATTTTGTTGTCTTTGAATAACATTCCTGGGAACCTTTATAAAGACCTCCTCGCTTTTTAAGAGAAAAACTGGCAATAAGAACAAAAAAACTTCCGTGAAAGGGCATATGAGAGCAAACCAGTCACAGTACAGAACAATAAAGGAATTTTAGCCTCACCACTGGAAAGACTTTATTTTATTTCAAAGCACAAAGAATGTGATGGCACATAGAATTAATTCACACTTATAGGTATTGTATTTTTTGTTCGGTTACTATTTTAGATGTGCTTTCCAATTTCCATGAATTATCTGAGGCCACATTTTCCAGTCACGCTTCTGTAAGCACAGTTACTACCTGCAAAACTAAAATGCTTTTCTGTGGGCTGGTATCGATGCATACTATGATCTCCTAGATGTTTCAGGAAGGTGCACATCATAAACAACATAGCAGTGGCTACCAGGCTCCCATCCAGGATATCTTTCCCTTGATTTGGAACAGTTTAGATAGCCTTCAAAAATTGGCTTTGTTTGTTAATTGCTTTAGGTGCTTGGCTTGGCTCCATGACATTTTTGTCTGCTGCCATGGAATCACTGTACAGAACAGACTGTAGGTACCTGATGTATTTTATTGCTGCACGGAGAGTCTCTACTTTGCTGAGCCGTTTCTCTAAGTATTCCTTAGGTAGGTGATGTCTCAATTTAGCATAGCCTTCATTGACACATTTAACTCTCTGCCTTTCCCTCTCATTCCTCTTCCTGATGAAAGCCGGCCCATAGGAGTACTCACTCCTGTTGTAACTGCAGTGGGGTATTTGGTAGGAAAAGCCACAGGGCTCAGTGTAGAAGTTCTCTGTGATGAAATGCTCAGACATGAAAGGAAGGAATGACAGATCTTCAGAGCAAGCGACCTGGTTTGGTGTTTCTGGGTACATGTGAAACATGACCAGTGGGTCTGCACAGAAAGGCCGGGGCAGCTGTATGCACTGAGTGTCAGCAGTGATGGACAACTTGTCCATGAGATTACAGTAGCTTTTCCCATCCATCAGGTTCTGCATTTAACCTGGAAACGCATAATTACAAAACACTTTAAACAACTCATACTGGACAGGACAAAATACTCACCTGCGTTTACTAACTGGCATTTGCCAGGTGAGACTTCTGAAATGTTGCAAATACATTAGAACAACAGATGGCAGAAAACATCCTCTTTGGGAAAAAAAAAAAAAAAAAACAACCAAGAGGATGTAAATTGGCTACAGTGATTTTAAAAAATGCACAACAGATCTGAAGAAAACTATTAACACTTTCTAAAGGAAAGAGCAAACATTCTCCTTTCATTTCCGCTTTAGAAATGAGAAAGATCTACTTTTATGAGCCCCACAGAAATCTAGCTTGCTCTAAACTTTCATCTTTACAGAAAACATAAAGCAGGCCAACACTGAAAGCACTCTCTCCAGCCCACTGACAATTCCAGTGACAGACTCTACTTGTACCAAAAAATCTTCAAGGACTAATTACTTCTCTATTCATTTGATATCTCATTCACTGTACTGTTTTGACTCAATGCAAAACTTGTGCAGGGATCCCAGAAGGGATGTCAAATTTATGTCTGCAAAGTATTCAATTTATTCTTCATCTAAGTTTTAGGAAAGGCCTATAGGATGAATTAGGGCTAAACTTGACATCATCTTGGGTCCTGTTGTTTAATACACAGATGAGTGGAGAAACACAGAGATGAAATACTAAATTTCAATTTCAAATTATTTTACATAATAGCTACTTAAAAATGTATCTAAAGCATATTGTTATTTTTTAAAGAATTAAGATCCATCCTTACCAATTGCAAGCAGTACTTCCCAACAAAATCTATCCAAAAATGCTCCTTTAACGTCTTCCTCATCTATACTTGGCTTTCTAAAATACTTAGATTATACCCTCTACAAAAGAAAAAGCACACAACACAAACTAGGTTACCAGAAACATCTAGACTGCACTACTCACAACAACCTTGAAAAGTTTCAAATATACAGAGCACAGTTCCATAGCAAACTGGATTATCTTAATCCCTCACAAGGATAAAGATATTTTAATGTTTTCTAATCATTTCACACCTGCCACTTTCAACAGTAAGAGAATTTTCACTCAATAACCCAATCTAACAACATATTCCATCAACATACATCTGTATTCAGTGCTGTTTGTTATTTTCTTATCAAAATGGATCTCAGTACAGAAATCTTGGGAGTTCAGAGTTCCTTTATAGCATGCTGTTAGATAAGAGAGACAGTCACATGCATCTTAAATGGATCTTTGTATAGGCACACTGATGGCACGCAGACACGTTCATTTTGAATTAATAGAGATACTGAAAGATTAGAAGTGAATATATACGTTCATAAAACAAAAGCAGTAGATAATCATCTTTCTCTTTTTTAACACAAGTTGTGTTATTCTAAAAATATTTTCAAGATGTCACAGTAGAAAATTGTCAGAACGAAATAAAGTCACTGAATAGCAAAAAGTGAATAGTAAAGTATCTACATACAGCAAGAAACCAAAAAACACAGCCCCCTGTGATACTTGCAGTGTTTGTTTTGCACCGACTCTTCTGCTGCATAACAGCATTGCATACATTTGTCTGCTGCCTTACTGTCTGCACTGAGCACATGTTAGAATCCTCTTCCCATCAGAGCAGAGACTCACCGATCTTCAGAGCAAAGTGAAATCCAAGGAAACAAGACGCGCTAATTTTAAGACTGCTGAGTAATACCTGAAAATACCTAAACAATATTGAAGAAAAAGTTAATGTTCCAGTTTCCTTGCATCTTATGTAATGTAGTAATTGATCGTATTAAACACAACGAATTAAAAAGCTACAGAAGCATTGTTACTGACTGGCTGATAGAAGTGGTTTAGAGAAACATGGATATTCAGTGCAGACCTGTAGCTAGATACAGCAATACACAGTTCTCTTACCTGAATGCACTTTGTTCCACTGAGTCAATGACTCCTGCAATTTATAGCCAATTGACAACATGCAAAGTAGCTTACAGTTAGATCTGCTCATTTCTGGTTTGCCTTTTCCACCCACACCACAGCTATGATGGCAACAAGACTTGGCATTAAGAACTAGAAATTTTAAAACCGTATTGAACACAACTGGATCACCTGAAAAAGTAAATCAGGAACATACTTTGCTTATGCCCTGTTACAGTTTACTAAAGCAGTATTTTCCTTTACTGGAGCTTCATACACTAACATCTATTTAATTATCAGCTAGAACTTAGTTAAAATAAACACACATTTGAATAAGAGTATGGATGAAATTAATATTACATTTTATGGTCATCTCACAGGATCTGCTTTGTTTCAAGTTCTTTTAAGTTCTATTCCACTTTGCTGTCTCAAAGCCTCAACACTAAACTCAAATATCAGCCCTAATTCCCTTCCCCCTAACCTCCTCCCATCTGGAGCAAAGTTCTGCATCTTCCTTCTACTCCAGCTTCAGACCCGATCAGAAATGCAGCCAAGATGTAGGGCACCTATTAGAACTGATAGGTAGGCACAAATGCAACAAACAAGTTATTTTTCCTTAGGGCATCCTATGTACATCGCTGTCATAACCGATCATTGACTCATCAGGGTTAGATGCCAAACACAACTGTGTTTTTGTTTGTTTGCTTTTATCCTGTCAATACACCCTGTGCTGTTTTGTACTTAGAGGGAGAACCCTACATCTCCACTAATTAGGTGCCTGTTATAATTACACACAGATTAATTGTGGTTTCGGAAGCCTACAGGACTGACAAGACAATGAAGACCTGCATCTGCCAAAAACATGTAGTCATTGCAAATGTTATGGGACAACTTATGTTTCCACTCAAGGTACTGAAGAGATAAGTATACAGGTACAGTTATTTTCCACACTATTTTGCTCCCACTCTGGCAATTACGAAAGCCAAACCTGTACCTGCCAATATACAATACTGTTCCATGGTACCATTTCCTTCAGCACTGGAAATGAAAATCATTCCAACATGGTAATATAACTAAACATGCCTAGCCAAATTTCAGGGATTAAAACCTTCCTTCAATCAGCAATTTGTTGTGCCATTCTTTCCCTTATCTAAGCACTAAAAAACTGCATATTTCCATTCAGAAGCATTTTCAGTTAACTGTTTTTATAAATGCAATTTGCATGCAAGTGTAATGAGGGAGAAAATGATGACATCTAGATAATGTGCATCTGTTTTTCAAAAATCAGTTTTAATTGTTACATTCCAAAGAGAATATATGAAAGTTAGTCATCTAGCGACTGTATACCTCTTAAGAGAGATGAACACAGAATCACAGATAGAAAAATACACCTAACTCCCAGGATGACAGGTGCTCAAGAAATTATGTGCCTTATGCCATCAATCCAAACAAATGCAGAAAGATTTCTTATAATAAATATTTCATCATATACTAGCTCCTGAGACTTTACCCATGAGAAGAAAGGAAGATCTCTTTTAAAAGATATCATACACATACAATATATTAAGCTTTTAAAGCAAAATAGAACGAAATGTCAACACTACCTTGAAGTGCATTTGGGTTTATCTACATCACAGTAGTTCAAGTGTGCAGCTCAAAGAGTCAGTGTCCATTTAAGTTCAGCCTTATTTCTGCGACCACTTGACATACAAGCACTTTGAAAGTACAAGTGCAAGCAACCAAATGATGAATACAGCCAATCAAAATTCTGCTCTCTGACATGACAACTGCACTGCAAGATTTCAATTTCCAATGTGACATCAGCCTGAAGAAAAATCCAAATATATTTACAAAAGGTCTTTACATAAAGAGAGTGGTGAGTTGTAAGTAGTTACTGTGTTCCCAGGTACTTTTAACCACATAAATAATAAAGAGAAATATATAGTTAAAAATCACCGTTAAGTCACAACTGTAAATAAAGTATCACAGTAGCAAACAAAGCAAGCTATCTCAGGGTTTGTTTTCTTTTCAGTTTTATTAGTAAGAGACAACTGAAAATGTAAAGATTTCTAGCTTTTGGTTAACTAATTTCTTTTATCTGCTTCCTGCTCAGTACATTCTTTCAAATTTTAAATACTTCATATATATATATGTTTGGTGGTTTGGTTTTTTTTTCCAAATCAGAAAAGAACAATTGCAGAAAACCCTTTTGAAGCAGTAGGTTCAGGGAGACAGAAGTCAGTTTTTTCGGTTTGCCTGCTTTACTTCTTGGAGTTGCTGCTGAGAGAATTAACTCAGCACAACGTGACGGTCGAAAACAGACTTGCGTTGCTCTTGGACCTGCAACTTCCAGCGCTGCTGGGCATACTCCACTTTGTTCAGCACGTTGGCACGGCTCCGAGATCGAGCTAGCACGTCATGAGCATTTGCAAACGGCTGGTGATCCTGGAACAGCAAAGATCCTTAGTTAGATCTCAATAATTCCATCGAGCAATTGAATTAACTGTTTTATTTTGTTGGTGATTTTAAGGTGAAACGAGCTATTTTAGCCAATTAGTCAGTCATAACGACAAAGCAAGTTTTCAGACAGTTAAAACGATATTTTTCATCCCAAGTAACTGCCAAATATTTTCCAAATAGACCCGATGGTATCACTGCAATTTCATAGAACAGCTTAGGTTGGAAGGGACCTTAGAGATCACTGAGCTCCAACTCTCTAACACAGCCAGGGTTGCCAAACACTGGATCAGGTTGCCCAGGGCCCCGTCCAACCCAGCCTTGAAAGTCTCCAGAGACAGGACATCCAAGCCTCCATGGACAACTTGTTCCAGTGCCTCACTACCCAAACGAGACTTGCATCCATTAGTAGCTGCTGGAATCAAATCTAAGACAGACTACGATGCCAGGACCCTCCTGTTATTGTCATGAATGTACTTTGTTTAATGTCACTTAAAGAGTGAATTAGTCAGTTTTTTGCCAGCTCTCAGCTTGTTACTGTATGGCAGTTCAGGATGTTCATATAAAGATTGTATGTAAAACCAACACACTCCACTGTTTACCAAACCAAACCTATTGTACCAAGCTGTCTGAAAGCAAAGTGTAAATACAGCTGTTTAAGTGACAGAGCTCAACAATAACTGAGAGCTTATTTAATATTTACTCTGCCTGTTTTCCATCAATACCCGCAAAGCTTTGTTTTCTTCTAATAAATAAAAGCAGGTTATAAACAGTAAGGGTTGGAATTGAACTTCTTCTTTGGCTGTCAAATTGTTTTGGACAAAGTCGTGCTCCTAAAGTTACATCAGAAAGCACCGTGTGTAAACTTCATAATAAAAAAATAACATAACTACATCCCATATTAAATAGTTATTTGCCCTTTTATATGTATACACCTCACAGTACTTGTGTTGTTGCTGTTGTTCCTGAATGCTTTTAAAAGACACTGATATGTATCTGTGACATAATTCTGTACAGAATAGCTCAGTGATGATTCTTAACAGGAGAATGATTCACATTAAAGATCTCAGGGGATGTCTACAATGGCACATATGGGCATCACTGAGCTAAGAAATATGCTAAAATGAAGACAGTCCCAGACTAAACGGCTATGAACTTATATAAAAGATTATGCAGTTGGACTTATCTAGAACAGTAAGTTCAAAGATCACAAATCACTTCATTTGTACAGAAGCAAAATCACAATAGCAGTACGTTTCCTCCATAAAATAAATGGAGAAATGGATAGCATAAGATAAGTTGGATGGTACTGGCAAGCTAGCTACCCTCAATTTCAGTGGGAAAGGCGGAGGAAAGGCGGAGGAAAGGCGGAGGAAAGGCGGAGGA